AAATAAAAATAAAATAAAATAAAATTTTTAAAAAATTATTTTTTTATTTCCTGGAAGCCCCTGTTTCCTGCTTGGAGAGGTGGGTGTTCAGCCTATTACTGCCTAAAAGCATCCTTTGTTTTTCTTCTTTCAGGTCCTGTGGCACTGACCTGTGCTGCATTCAGCTGCTCGCACAGTGATATAAAGCCCCAATATGCACATTGTTGTTACATCACAGCTACTGTGGATACTGTACTGGAGCATGGAACCAGTCCATAGGGATTCAGGTAAGTCCCCCTTTTTTAACATATTGTGTGCCAGGAATAGAGACATGGACATTTATTAAAAGATGTATTTGAAAAACATTGTTTGAGGAAACACATTCTAAAGCACACAATATATTAAAAAAACCACAGTCCCACCCTCCTCCTTTGCAGGATAAGCAATGCCACCAAAATCTCCTCAACTGAATCCTTTGGGAAAGTTCCATGCTCCAGCAGAAACTTTATGATTATACTTGTAACATGTGCTGGGATATCACTTTGGATCAGGAGGCAGCTGGCCACAGGACACAAACAAAGAAAAGGAAATTTAAATCACAGGAAGTACATAGGATGAATGCATGTAAGACAAGTCTGCTGACTGTGGGCAATTTAACACCTCTTTCTGAAAGTTAGTGCCACTTGGTGAACCTGGTGATCGTGATTTTAGATGGGTCTGAACAATTAAAAAGATCAGTTTATGTAGTTGGAGCTAATAACTGGCAAGGGACTAGAACTTCGTTCAGAGGCAAGTGTTTGTCATATGGTTGGTCATTATTAAGGTTACTGTGTTTTCTTCAGGCTGGTTAGAATTGGAGTGGTCACATTGCCAGGTCCCATTCTTGGAGCATTTATGATTTTTGTCTGCAAGGGAAGATGTGTTTTGGTGTGCATGCGTTTCAGAGGTGCAGAAGGAGCTTGCTGGTTAGCGAATGTGTGTTACTGCATTTGTCGAGCCTTTGTTTAAGCTGCCCTTAAACAGGAATAAATGGACAAATCTTTAATGTATTTTTTCTTATTGTTATCAGTCCTCTAATATGTGTAACTGTCTAGTAAACACAACCTGCAGCTTTGTTCATAAAATACTTCAGGAAATGTAGTTTAAAAGGAGGGTTTAGCTATGTCAGCACAAGCAACACATCTTCTAATTTTCTTTATTTCAGATTTTGCCAGTAAAATGTGTTCTTTTCTGTGTTAGTGTACTAGTGCAGATCCAAGGTATTTCAGAGTAATCCAGTTAATACCACAGAAATCTGCATATTCTTCCTGTTCCTTCCTGTTGTTCAATCAGAGGGAATCGTCATCTGGCTTAAAATGGCAATTACATATCATTGTTGTGCATTTGCATAAGAAAGATTTTGTTTGCTGCATCCATGTAAGTATTCTATAGAGTGATTCAGTCAGGTTGGGTTTTGGGGGAAAAAGGGATAATGTGCAACCCAGACCAGACTTGTGTAACTTCTTCAGCATCTGTCCCTTCTTTAGTTAAATGTGAAAATGTGTTTTTTCTAGAAGAGGCTTGTCACTTACGGTATTCTTGGGGAAAAAAAGTGATAATATTCTAGACTGAAGAGCCCTCTTTTGCCCATTACCAGTAGTTCTGGTTTTGTTAGCTACTTTTTGTTTGAAAAGGACCTTTCTGTAGTTCTTCCCAGAGTGAAATCATAGGTAAATGTTGACCAGAACAGGGGCTTGTAGGGGATTTCTGTTGCAACCACCACTATAATCATGAGGTGCCATGAAGTTACTGTACTCTATTTTGATGTTTTCTCATTAATAATGTAGTTCTGGAAGCAGCAAAAATAGTGAAGTCAGATTTCCCTTGACAAGTGTTTTTTGTCTGGATTCTCTCCTGTCTGGTGGGAGGTGGCTATGCCTGAAGCTCTGTACAGATGGAGCATGCATAGCAAACACTTGTTTTAGAATCTCTGTTGTCTAGTGAGGCTCGACCTCTCTGGCTCATGTACACACACAGACTGTGATTGTGCAAGCCTAATTTCCTGGGGAAATCAGGCTAAAAATCATGTTTAAAGTTGGTCTTGATTCGTAAGAAACAAAAGGTTAAAAAGGTTTTGAGAGGCTGGATGGATAAGAGAAACTGGGCTTTGGCTTCCTGTATTTTACAGGATGCAGAGTGTAATCAGAGAGTCTCTTCCCCATTTCAGGGAAATAGTGTGTATAAGTACTAAAACAGTATGGCTTTGCACTGTAATTTTCTTAATTTTCCTTCACAATGGCTGTACTGAATTGGTTCCATTTATAAGTCAAGAGGTGATTTTTTCAAACAGTCTTCATGCAAACTTCATGAGACAGGGAGTTTGACTTCCAGGTCACTTCTTTCCAGCAGCAGAATCACTAATAAAAATTCTGTCATCAGTATGTAGTTGATAGTTTAATTGCTGATACATGGTGCAGAATGCAGTCTACCTCATTTTCTCCCAAGATGGTGGTACCCAGACTTTCAGAGAACAGAGACACTAGATAAACTGGCACAGGAAAGGTTCTGGTTGGTATGGGTTCAGGATGTGTGAATTTTTGTTCCCAGCTCTGTTACAGACCATCACTTTCTCATCTGTGTGTTAAGGATAGTTATGATTACCCAGTTTTTTGGAATGCTTTGGAATCCACTGAAAAAATGTGCTATGTAAGAGCTAAGTGTTTATTTTATGTGCTACATAATCTTTTGTTCTAAGTAACAATAATTATTTTTTTCCCACAGCGTAGCACTACAAATCCCCAAGGCATAAATGAGGACAAATCCCATTCATTTTTTGTTCTGTGCTTAGACATTTTTGAAAATTAAGTGCCACTTAAAACAAGAAATCTAGAAAACTTTTTTTAAAAAAAAATCTTTAGAGAGAAGTTTGGAAAGACTGCAGAAACAGAGCTAAAACTATAGATATATCTGTATTTATATTGTATTTAAACAGAACATGCTGTCAGCTGGTGAAAACTACTGAGCTCCAGTTTTCGTTTAATTGGGAACATAAACATATGAAAGTCAAGGATAGTAATTTGATTTCAGAAGAAAGCTGCTTGAGACAAGCATCAGTCAGAGCTAACAGGAGCCATATGCTAGATATTTTATGTCAGTGATGTGGTCTTAAAAAAAAATTAGGAAAAGCATATTTGATTTTTTTTTTTTTAGCAGGTCTTTCCTGAAGAAGTTGTAGTAAAACTTCTGTTCAACAGGCTGAACAGTATTTATGTGTGTAATTGATGTTAATATATTATATTAAATTGTAGACATAAGATATTTTCTGTTATTGTGATCAAAGAAGTTTGTTCACTTAACTATAACCACAGAGTGCTTGTAATTTCCCAGAACCAGGGGACAGTTAAGATAAAACTTGGCAAATTAGAACCTCCATGAGTGAGGGGGTTTGGGCTTTCTATCACTAGGTCTGCTGAAAGTTTTACGGATGTGGGCTAACCTTTTTAAACCAAGAGCCAGTAATTATCTCCAGCAGACAGTTATGGACAACAAGCTATGGAGGTAATTCTGGCACAGGAGTTCCCTTGTCATAAAGAGGAAGGTTGAAAAGCACTCAGTGGGAAAGAATAAGGCGTAACTGATGATAGTCCCTTACAAAACAGAAAGAAAGGCTCTCACAGAAACCAGTATTTGTTGGCCATTTCTGTTGCATTTTAAGCCATTTAAATTGTGATGTTATGGACGATTATAGTTGTCTTTATAGTTAATTAAATGGTTGTTAAGCTCCCAAATATTTGCAAGCAGGATGTATGTTACCCTGGCATACTAACTATAGCATGCTTTGCTGGAGATTGTCTTAATGTTAAGGAACTGATACTGAATATTTTATATCCATGAGTTCTGTGAGGCATAGTTACTATTACGGTGGAAACTCTTGGCTTGTTTCTCTTGACAAGAGCCCAACTGGCAGGGGTCAAATGTGCAGACTGAATGCTTTCTGCACACTAATCTAGAAAAGTGATTCTATGCTGGAGGCCTGCTTTGAGAGGAAAGATTATGCAAAGTGCAAGGTTATTAAAATCCAGGTAAACTTTATTATTTCTTAACTTGTACTTAGCTAGTTTTAACAAGTCCTGACTGGAAGTGGTCCCAGAGATGGATCTCTGCAGGCTCTTGGCAGTCAGGGGAGAGGGATGGGCTGGTCCCTGGGGTGAGTGGAGTAACTGGGTTGAGTTCTCGTCCAAGCATCCCTCTAGGGGCAGCTGAGTGGCTGCAGAGCCAACCAACATAAATTAGCAGCGCTTGCTAGGCTTCATGTATAACCCTCCTCGAGTCCCTTTCCCACTTCAGGAAGCTGATTATGGTATTAAGACCCATTCCTTACATCCTAAATCATTCTGGTTAGCTGTGAGTGGATTATTCCAGGTGCAAGGGAAAGAAAGAGGTCTGCCTTCTGCTCTCCCATCCTGGCGCCTGCAAAGGTGGCAGTGTGAGTGCGTGGCTGGTAGTAGGCACGAGAATACTCTTGTCACAGTTCTTTGGCTTAAGAAATTGCCAGATCTTTGATGATCCAGATAAAACAGTTTGGGAAGTTACTGCCCTTCACCAGGATGCCCTTAAAGCTACACAGGACGCCCATTTCAGTGCTCAGTGAACCTGGGAAGGTTAAAGCTCAAATGAGGGCAATATATGTCAATCTGTTTGATGTTGTGCTGAACTGAATTTAGTAGTGCTCACAAGGATACCCATGACACAGGTAATCTCTGTGTGACAGACCGTAATTTCTTAAATTGCTTAACGAAATCTGCATAATTCTTATCATAATTCTGATGCTTTTTAGACATGAAACTAATCATTAAAGAAACTGATCCCCTGCACAAAATGCATGGTGACTGTTGATCAAAGTTGGTAAACTTGTGTGTCTGGCTGAATACAAAGCTTTATCTATGAGTTTAAGCTGACAGCAGGTATAATTATTAGCAAATAATAATATAATGACTGTGATGTTCTTTATCCATTTGCAAATGATGAGTGGACGAATGGATTTGCTCCCAAGTCATGTGAAAGCATCTCTCTCATGTTTCCCTGTAAGCTGCCTACGATCTTCTTGATTGCCATTGTCTGTAAAGCATGTGGCAGGAACTTTTCAGGTGTATATGAATAAAAAATGTCCAGAAAAGGTTATATTTTAAGGTCATGTCGTGGTTTAACAAATTTGTTTTAACACACTCTGGTCAGATCTGTTATTACCTCAACCCTTTGTGCCCCACGTTGGGAGCCAAAAAGGACTGTCGTGGTTTAACCCCAGCCAACAGCTAAGTACTACCCAGCCACTCTCTCACTCCTCCCCCCTCCAGTGGGATGAGGAAGAGAATCGGAAGAAGGTAAGACCCATGGGTTGAGATAAGAACAGTTTAATAATTGAAATAAAGTAAAATATAATAATAACAGTAGTAGTAGTAGTAATGAAAAGGGAGATAACAAAGACAAAGGAGGAAACCCCAGGAAAAGACAAGTGACGCACAACACAATTGCGCACCACCTGCTGACCAATGCCCAGCCCATCCTTGAGCAGCAATCGGTGCCTCCCAGCCAACTGCCCCCAGTTTCTATACTGAGCACAGCGTTCTATGGTACGGAATATCCCTTTGGCCAGTTGGGGTCAGCTGTCCTGGCTGTGCTCCCTCCCGGCTTCTGGTGCACCTCCTCGCTGGCAGAGCATGGGAAACTGAAAAGTCCTTGACTTAGGGTAAGCACTACTTAGCAACAACTACAACATCAGTGTGATATCAACATTATTCTCGTACTGAATCCAAAAACCACAGCACTGTACCAGCTACTAGGAAGAAAATTATTTCTATCCCAGCCAAAACAAGGATAGGCCATCATTCTGTGGTCAGATAAGAATGAGGAGCGTCTTGGGGTGCACTGTGTTCAAGCTGGAGGGATGCTGCTGTGTTGGGATTGCAGCATTGATCTGGTCAGGCCTGATTTAGCAAAAGCAATCAAGAGAGAGCATAACACAAATGTGTATTTTAAATCATTGTTGTGTCTTGGGTAATGTGTATCACTGTTGTACAACAGATTGTACAGCTGATGTGTTGAAAAATGTTGCTCATAAGTCTCACTGAAGCAGTTATGCAATTTGCTACTCCCACCATTCTTTTTTTTTTTCCCCAAAGTGCTGAGTATAATGCACTATTAAATGCGTTTTGATAATCAGTTTTGGAAACTGCTGTTCCTGTTTAGTAGACATAATAGGAATATAGAATTAATAGAGCAAATATTAGATACTCTAAATTGTGGAGGAAAGTTTGAATTTTAATTAATTTCCAGTAATTTGATTCCTGATTTGATCACAAGGTATTGCTCCGTGAAAGCAGAAATAGGGTGATTTTCCTGACATTTCAAAGCCTTTTAGGTGCAACTTAATCCCTGGCTATTGACTGACCTGTGGCCAGAAAAGGATTCGTAGTCAAGCACCCCTTGTTCTGTCTGTTCCTCTTTATTATTCCTTTTCCACTGGCAAAGGAAATCTTTTTGCCTGCTGCTTCCCTCTATTTGACATCATTGGGGAACTGTTACCATTTCAAGAGGAGGTACAGAGCAGAATCTAAAAGCATTTCTGTATTTATGTAAAGTAGTTAAAATGTGCATGGATATGTGTATTTGGGTAGTCCTGCTAGTATTATCGAATTGTAATTTCTCCTGTAACTTTAATTTTTAAGATCTTTCAATGATTTTTTTAAAGTATGGGTTAATGAATTCTTTTTCAAGACAACATGAGAAAAGTTACAACAAAGTTAATTTTCAGGCCATCCTGGAACCCTTAAAACTTCTCTCCTGAAAAATACATAGTCCGTACAAAGACATTTAATGCGTAGATCCAGGAGAGATTTATTCAGGATCCAGGAGAGATTTATTCAGGGTATCAAGGTGTTTCATGCTTTTGGCCTCTAAAGAGTGTTCAGCTGAGTGAAAATGTTATTCAGTAACTTCGCAACATTTTTTTCTGATCTTTGTTACTGTTAAGAAAAAAATATTCTATCAAGTGGCAATGATGGGTGATCCATACCACTAGCCTTTGAAAGGGAAGTGAAATCTCCCCTTTTATGCCCAGAGAAATACATGCAGCTATTTTGTTTGTGCGGTTACTTAGGAGGATATTCAAGCACCAGGTTTTGCAACCATAAGTGCTAATTTGCTGGCATTTTTCTAAATCTGTCTATTGTACCCATGATAAACTGTGTCTGCATAGTGTATACCTCTCATTTTTCAAAGTTTACTGTGTCTAAGTTTTGAAATAAGCTGTTGGATGGTTCTCCCTTGTAAGAGTTTTATCCCCAGCTCAGTACAAAGACTACGGATCTTTGCGCATCTTCTCTGGTTGTATCTCTACATCCTTGTTCTATGAGCAGATTTTTAAACGAAATGCTTCATTGCGTGTTTGTTGTCTTTTCACAGGTGATGTATCACCCATCAGCATGTCTCCCATCAGTCAGTCACAGTTTATTCCACTTGGGGAAATCCTTTGCCTGGCCATCTCAGCAATGAACTCTGCCCGAAAACAAGTCACACAAGAAGCACTAATGGAGCACCTAACAACCTGCTTCCCAGGTAACTGGACGTTAATACATCGTTGTTCAGATGGGCGCATGTCTGTAAAAGGGCAGCTAAACAATCCCCAATCCCTACCCAAAAGGTTACTTGTCTTTTTGGCTTCCTTAAAAGAGGGAGTTTCAGTGTTTGGTAGTCTGTGTTTCTTCATTCTTCTGGATGGGAATATTGATTAATCCTGAGATGCTACCCAAGAGTAAAAGGAGGCTTTAGGTTTCTAATCTTAAAACATTTTCTTTATTCTTAAACATACAGAGAATTGAGTTCTCTTTGACAGGGCCATTCATGTGAGTTGCATTTTGCAGGGTTTATTCCTGACTTTATGTAAATATTTAAAATTACTTGAGATACTAAAGGGCAAACTGTATTGGCTTGTTTGTTTTTTCAGACTGGTATCAGAATAAGTTTGTAATTTTGTTTGTTTGTGATTTTTCTCGCAAAATAACTTTCTTTATCATCATAGTCAAAAGATTTTAGGACTTCTTTGGTAGTTACAGAGAGCAAAGCATGTGTCACAGCCAGAGTTATTCCAACTTGTGACTTTCAAGCCATTTGTAAGCTAACTAGTGAGAGCTCTGTTGACATCATTCAATCAGTTCAAGTGTCATTGTCCAGTCTCCATAGAGATAACCTCATGGAGGTCCCTGTGAAAAGCATTCTCTCTTAAAGAGCAGGCTTCCCACATACTGCATGTCTTCCTCGACCTAGGACAGGCTCTCAAAACTGGTGTGGCCTGATGCAAGTAATGAGTCCAATGATGATAATGTTTCAGGGAGAGGTTATATTGAAATGGAAAGGATGTTGTCAGCCTGGTTTCCAGGCGTTTTCAGAGCCACCTTGAACCAGTTCTGGCTTTTGCTTCTGTACTGCCCTTGCTTGAAAAATCTTTAGAATTTTTTATTTTTTTTTTTAAACCTGACAACTTTCTCCATGACTAAAGGGCTTGGAGACCCATAGATACGCTTGCTGTGTTCATAAATGCTAGTGTACTGTTCAGAAGATATTCTTGTTAGCATTTGATAATATTTATTAAGTGGTAAAATGAAAATGTCTTGGATTAAAGATACTGTAACATCAAAAAAAAGGAAACCTGTACTAAGAATGTACTCCTGAATATACCGCTTCCCTAATGGCCGTCTGTATCTGGAGTTGGGGAATCATGCAAAATACATCTTGTAGAGACATCTAAAAATGTGGTGCAAAAGCATTGGGCAGAGGTTTACTGCTCAAGAGAGCACAACTTTTTCACTTGTGCTTTATATGATCCTGGGCAGGACATTTAACTATTCTGTGCCTGAGTTTACAATTCTCTAAACTAGTTGAGAAACTTGTCTATTGTACCTCTTTTACAGCTGTAAAAGCAGCTAAATAAAAATGCTTCAGTAGGAAGGCTACTGATACATCTGCCCCATCTAGGCAGCCTAACCATAGCCATGTTTTGATGTCTTGAATTTTTTTGCTTACATTTCAGAGCAAGAGTTACTTAAAGACTTGAAGGTTACATGGCTTTTGCTATAAGTGGTACTAAATTCTGAGATTTTAAAATATAATTCTGGATTGAAAGCTGTGTTTGGAATAAACAATTCTGTCTGACATTTAATAGTTGCACTTTGGAAAAAATTACTGCAAGTATGTTTTGTAAATACTGACTTTGTCTCTATTTGTGATTTTGTTTGTTGGGGGGGTTTAGTATGCTTGGCTGGTTTTGAAAAATAGTGGTAAAAGTTGTAAGGGATAGAATGCAAAGAAGACAAAGTTCATGATTATAATTCAAATTTAATTCATTTTGATGATTTTTTTTTTCCAAGTCATGTTTTCTATATAGCTATGTACTAGAAGAGTTCCATAGATTGCAAGTATTTTTCCAATGATTCTATCAATATTTTTCTATAAACATTATTGCATGGTGGAAATGATAATTTATTGGTGGCATCCCTTGGGTTTCCTGGGAGCATGATTATCGGTTGACTTGGTGTGTTGTGCTATTCTTGCTAGACAGAAAAGTACATCAAAAATAATTCAACAGGCTGCGTTATTTTGTAGACTCTGCTCAGAAGAAGCGTGAAGCAAGTTAGCACATAGTCTCTTGCTGCTTTTTTTTTTTCCACTAGCCATGAACATGTGCATTTCTGAGGTCTGAGATTAAAAAAAGGAGAGCCTTGTTTTTTCTACCTTGCTTCCCAAAATGTAAAGAAAATTATTGGGGGGGGGGGGAATCCACCCTTTGTTGTCTACTCCTTTTTCCCCTCTCTAGAGAAATGCGATTTTCTCCCAGCCATGACATGTTTAACATAGCAAACATGCATGTTCTCACAGTGTATGAGGGTTATCCAAAAATTTTATCCTTTCCAATAAACAGAACCTCCTCTTGTGCCAAGTGATATTTTTCGCTTGTCTTCCCAAAGTCTGTCATCAATCAGCTGTGGCTTTCTGAGCCCTTCTATTCACTGTGGCTATTTTAAAATATCTGATGTTGTCCCATGTTCTGATAGTTTATTTTTCCTAATTAGGTGCTGATGCTCTGAGAGAGAGGAGAGCGTTACCATTGTAGATGTTTCTGTCACTGTCACATAACCTCTCTGTATCTCACCCTGTAGCAGCACTTGTCTGCCTGTGTAGTTTCTGTTTTAATGAACAGATGCTTCACTGCATTTCATGGCATGTATGAATTTCGTAAGACCCCAGATGCTATTCTCAAACTGCCTAAGAATAATAAACCTCTTTCCTCAGTGCAGGATCTTACACTTGCAGTCTAGCCCTCTAGTTTGCTGAGCCATTGTGCAGGCATAAATCTGGGCCATGGCTCTATCTGAAATAAGGTATGCTAATTATTTATAACATCACATAGCAACCACTCCACATCCTTAACTAGTATTTCATGAGCCAATCAGAGTATTTCTTTTATCCCTTGTTAAGCCTTAACATCAGCTCAGGAGAAAATCATTTTAGCAGATTTAACACCATTTAAATACTACTTCAGATGTATTTTTCATGAATTTATTTTATTGAAAAAGTTTGTAATGATAATGCACATCTTATTTGTGGCTTTTGTTATTTGTCAGGTTTTTAAAAAAGCGAGAGGGCTCCTGCTGCACGTGCTCCTGTTATTCTAACTTAGAATTAAACAATGAGATGTTTGTACAGCCCTGCTTTATAATTTATTGACCATGGTTTAAATCCTGTACATTAAATGTAAATCTTTGAAATCCAGTATAAGGAGCTAAGAATGTAACCTCTGTCCCTGTGTTTGGCAGCCAGACCCTCTTACCTGTATGAACCTGGCTGGAGAAAATATCAGGTCTTAGGCTGTGTTGCCTTTAGTAAGGGTGTGGGGTTTTTGGCTTTGGTGGGGTTTTTTTGTTTGTTTGTTTTTTTCAATTTCATCCACTTAAAAATAATTTTAAGGTGTTCAAAATTTCAGTGTAGCAAATACGTGTGTACTGGACTAGGTTCCTTTTGAAGCAAACAGTTTTCTGAAAGCTGGCAAATTCCTCTGATGTTCACCTTCATATCTGTTCACTCTTTAAATATGTGAAATGTATATGCAGCACTTATTTTAAGTGTCTTACATTAACTGAGTTCACTCTAGGTCAGTGTTCTTTGTGAGCAGCAAACAAGACATAATCTTCTGTCTGGAAGCTTGGTGGATGGCATAGTAGACTCTCTTGAGATGCAGAAAATGTACATGTCTGATGATTCAGTGTCCAGACAGTTTCTGCTTTTGAATTATTAAACCACTACATAATCTTAAATAACACCACTGCTGTCATACAATGTTTTATATGCTAGAGTCTCTAAACTACTAGTTTTTTTCCTCTTGTTCCTATTTAATCGAGGAAGGGACACCATAAGAAGACTTCTGAATGCAGTGGGGTAGGTTATAGACACAGTGTGGGGCAGGTTGCTGTAAAGAGAAAAGTCTTGAGAAAGCTGGGAAATATGTATTTAAAATGGTAACAATGGGAGCCACAGTAGTGTCATTGCTCCTGTCCACCATGCAGGAAAGCCTAATTGGAGTTTGGATCTGTTTCTGCTTCTGTAAGTACCTACCTGAAAGAGATCTGAACAAAACCTATAGCTAGCATTAGCTGGCAATGCCGAGCTCCAAAGATCTGCATCTGCCATCGTCACTGCTGGCTTAGTGAACTGCAGGGATGTACTGTATGCTGGGAGTGATAAAAGTGGTAGTCTCCAACTCCAGAGAGAAGGCTGACATGATTAAGTTTACAGCATCATTGACTGCCCAGGCACACTAATGTGTTTTTTTTTCTTGGTGTTTATCTGCACATTCTCTATTCAGAGGACTTAGTCAATTAATGTAGCTACTGTGCATCCAGTGTTTTGAGACTCGTTTACCCAACACGTTGTAGTCATTATGGTTTACTGAATGAAAAATAAATATTACCATGTATTTGCGGTGCTTTTTTGACTAAGTTAATGTAAAACATCAGAAGATCCATATCAATCTCCTTCCCTAACTTTTCTGTAAACTCCCAGGAGAGTGTTTCCCTCTCTTTTATTTTTGTTCTGATGTTTTTTGAAACAGTATGTTAAGAAAAGACTTTAAGTAAAATAAGGATGAAGAACCAAGTTTTCGCAGACAAAGGTAGGTATGTGTTGAGGTATTTACGTGTAAGCTCCTGGAAAATGCAATGGATCAGCCACGTTGTTTATGTAGAGGCAGGAAGAGAGATTGGCTGCTGCACAGCAAGCGCATTTCAGTTGGACTGGGATTGGACCCTGCCGTGCATTTTCAGCACAGGATGGAGAAGCACAGGAGCTGGAGTTTGGGGTCATCCACTTCTTGCGGTGATGCAAGGCATAATATAAAAGGGTTGGTGTTACCCAAGCAGACATAGCAGCTCCACCACAGGAAAGAAGAGGTTAGAAGATGACCGCTGGTTGTTAGGGGAATTGAAATCACTTTTCGTGTTCCTTTACTGAAACCTCATGTGAAGGGCAGCCTGCTCTCCAGTTGCCACTGCCTTACAATCCAGAGGAAGGTCAGCATATTGTTTACTTCAGTCCAGAGAGATTCAGGACTCGGCTAGGGAGGGGTAGTCCTTTTTTCCCCCCCAGCTCTCTGGATTTCAGCTTTTCCCATCTGTTGCTATTTCTGGCATATTTGCTCATCCAGCAATTCTGGGGGTCTTTGTTACTCTCTCTAGGATTATCACATAAATTGTGGACACTTACATGAAAAGGGGATAAAATGCATGTTCCTGATTCTCCATTTCATTTGCGTATTCTTTCCAATTTTCAGTCTCATTCATTCTCTCAAATTAAATCCTTTCTTTACCTCTTTTACTTCCTGTGTCTGGATCAGCCCCAATCTTTCAGCTCTGTGGACTGTGCATGAAATATATTTACTGCCTCCATGTACTTCTCCTTGGCACCTTCTCTGTTGTAACTGCTTTCTCTCATGTGTCCATGTTATTCCTAACTCTTTGCTGTTTCCGTTGTAAGATTTTTAGTTACAGATATTACTGGATGTGAGCAGTATGATCATGTCTCTAAATTCAAACAACATTCAAAGCCAGACATAAGAATACTTACTATGTTGCCTGCAACCCAGTAGCAGGGAAGAGGGTGAGTTAAGGAATTGCTACAACTTCTCTCTTTCTTGTTGCTAATCTTTTGACGGGGTGTCGGTCATAAGGCCAGAGCCCTTGCTATCATCCTCATGTTTGCTAACACAAGGAGATCAGTGAGCTTGCAAGCTCCAGCCTTTGACATGTGAGAGAAGAGTCGGTAACCAGACACTTAGGCGCCACTGAAGGTACTGTGTTTGTGGCAGGTACGCCTGGTTGAGATTTTTCCATTAAGTATTTTTGTAAAAAGCATATACTTTGTTGAAACGTGATTCCATGGAATTTCGGTTCTTGAAGATAGTCAGAGTTTGACTTGACAAGGTCCTGACCAACCTGGTCTAAGTTGGCCTGTCTATGAGTAGGAGTGTTGACCAAGTCCCTTCCAATCTAACTTACTCTCTGATTCTATTTTGTTTTTCTAAATTAGTTTTGTTGAAAAGAAAAAAGACCCAGAGTAAATAATATTAACTTATTTTGTTTAAAATAGACCATCCAGACTTTTGAAAAAAAAATTTCTGTAGTTCTAAAAATGTAAACCAGGCCGGTACCCAGCATTAAGTTAAAATTAAAATGCATTTTAGTTCAACAGAATGTACTGATTGAAGATAGCTCTTTTCCACTGAAAATGTTGGAAGGATTTTTATTTCTTATTCAGCATAAATGGATTTTTTTTTTAAAAAAAAATAGCTTGTGAACTAAATCTCTTGTTTCCTTAGCTCTAGATGAGACTTATTCCTATGCACAGTATGCTAACTTTGTTTTTATCCAGTAAAGTATTGAAGGCTTGGTCCTGCACCACCAAACCCAGCAAGAGTACTGGTAGTGGGAAGGACCAGGCTTATAATGCCAAGTCTACCATGTGGCTAATGTGGTGTTGATGCAGGGTTGTCATACTTGTCCCTCTCTCAGTACATGATATACGCACTTAGGTAGTGTCCCTCATATCTCACATGAAAGGCAGGGAACTCTGAGAAGCAAATTTTTAGGAGCTAAATCTGTAACTTCCAGCATAGTGGAAAAGTCTGTTGGGGTAGGATGAACTGTATCATTCGAGGAGCATCTGTTTTGGAGCAGCTGATGTAGTTGAAACGTGTTTTATGGGAAAGCAGGTCAGTTCAATCAAGTTTGTGATAAAGGGGCGGTTTGAGGGAATGCTTTTCTGTGTAGTATTCTTCTGTGGAAAAACAACTTAGGCATCCAAAGTAACAAATAACCACTGTTTTATAGGTGACTAGACATTATAACAAATAGTTCTGGGCAACTGGGATATAAATATTTAGTTGGAAGAAGAATAACAGTGAAATGTTTCCCCTGACACCTTTTGATTTCCAGTAATTCCATCTTGTAGCTTAAGATCACCTGCACAATGGAAGTGAATAGAAGTTCTCTCCTGTGTTTTTTGGGTTTTGGGGGGTTTTTTGGTTTTGTTTGTTTGGGTTTTTTTAACACTCCATTAATGGCCTCCTTTCTGTTCAATTAATAATTGATATGTCTGAAGTGTAGGAGATAAGTGGAAAAACAACCAGACAAGAGAATGCCTAACAAAGTGCTTTACTGGAATTGTTTGTTCAGCATATTCCAGCTTGCACATTGGAAAAAGCAGCTTTTTGCTGGGGAGGGGGGAGACAGAGTCTCCTGCACGGTTTCATGCATTCCCTGATATGTGTTTACTGTCATTTGTAGGAGTTCCAACACCCAGTCCAGAAATCCTTCGACATACCTTGAATATGCTTGTACGGGAGAGGAAAATATACCCAACTCCAGATGGTTATTTCATTGTAACCCCACAGACTTACTTTATAACACCATCTCTCATAAGAACTAACAGTAAATGGTACCATTTGGATGAGAGGATACCTGACAGGTCTCAATGTACCTCTCCGCAACAAGGAACTATAACTCCCTCCACCTCGGGATGCGTCAGGGACCGAACACTACCCAAAAACCACTGCGACTCCTGCCATTGTTGCAGAGAAGACATGCACAGCATGCATGCATCTACCCTACAGAGGAAATCAGCAAAAGACTGTAAAGACTCCTACTGTCCTCCTTCATTATGTCAGGTCCCACCTACTGAGAAAAGTAAAAGTACTGTCAATTTTTCTTATAAAGCGGAGACGCTCACAAAGCCTAAGGATGTAGAAAAGCAGTCTAAGAAATTTGGACTCAAATTATTCCGATTAAGTTTTAAGAAGGACAAGACAAAACAGTTGGCAAATTTCTCTGCCCAGTTTCCTCCAGAGGAGTGGCCGCTAAGGGACGAGGACACCCCTACCACTATACCTAGAGAGGTAGAAATGGAGATTATCAGGCGCATTAACCCAGACTTGACTGTGGAAAATGTCATGAGGCACACTGCACTAATGAAGAAACTTGAAGAAGAAAAAGCTCAACGAAGCAAAGCAGGATCTTCAGCTCACCACAGTGGACGAAGTAAAAAGAGCAGGAATCACAGAAAGTCTCATGGGAAATCGAGGTCGCACAGCAAGACTCGGGTGTCCAAAGGAGACCCATCAGATGGTTCTCATTTGGATGTACCTGCTGAAAGGGAGTACGAGTTCTATGATCCCTTGGCTCGATCCCCACGGGAAGGCTGTTTTATAATAGAACACAAGGGAGATAATTTTATAATGCACAGCAATCCTAACATGATTGAATCTCACTTTCCCATGACACCAGAGTGGGACGTATCCGGTGAGCTGGCCAAAAGAAGAACTGAAATGCCTTTCCCCGAGCCTTCCAGGGGAAGCTCCCACTCCAAGGTCCATCGGAGCCACAGCCATACACAGGATAGAAGATCGAGGAATGAGCGGTCCAGTAAGGCTAAAGAAAGGTCGAGATCCATGGATAACTCCAAGGGGCCTCTGGGCTCAGCTGCTTTAGGCACACCTGAAGATATAGGTGAAGGCTGTAGCCCAGATGACCAAACAACTAGCCAAACTTACATTGATGATAGTACCTTAAGGCCATCTCAGTCGCTCAGTCATCAAAGGGCTCTGATTTCATCTGCAAGCTACAAAGAGACTTGCATCCCTGAAATAGCTAGTGGCAGCGTAGAAACCCCCAGTTCTTGTAGCCTATTGGAACAAAGCAAGCCTACAGAGAATTTGCCATCATATAGCGAGCTCAACTCCAGCACAACAAAATCCGCAGTTGATGACTATTTTCAGTGCAACACATCCAGTGAGACTGTGCTTACTGCTCCATCACCACTGGGAAAGAATAAAGAGGACCATGATACGCTGACAGGGACAGATGCGCTCAAAAAAATGACTCCCACAGAAAGGCAGTCTCAGCATATTGCTAGGGAGCCTGGGGTGCACAAAGAGGAGTCCCCAAAGGGCCCGAGCAGTGGTTCAGCTGTTGCTGGCCAAACTCCAGAGGTGATTGCAAATGGACGGCTGGTTCAACACCATAGCGCTGAATCAAGCAGCCTTGATAAAAGGAAAGAAATATTTAGCAAGGATACACTCTTTAAACCTCTGAAAAATGAATAGTTACCATAAGTCTAGCACACCCCTGCTAAAGCCCCATCAAAAGACCCCCTCTGACACCTTGCCAGTCAGATGTGAGAAACTTGAACAAGTGATAGTAACCTCAGTCACACAAGTCATGCCCGTTTCACAGAGACAGCAAGAGACAACTGGGAACCAGGAGGCCTCCTTCGACTACTACAACGTATCTGATGACGACGACTCAGAGGAAGGAACCAACAAAAATGCTGAGGAAGAAAAGAACAGGGATGATGTTGGTACGATGCAGTGGCTCCTAGAGAGAGAAAAGGAGAGGGATCTGCAGCGAAAGTTTGAGAAGAATCTTACTCTTCTCACCCCGAAGGAAACAGAAAATAGCAACAACCAGAGAGCCACCCACTCAGCCCGCCTGGACAGCATGGACAGCAGCAGCATTACTGTGGACAGCGGGTTCAACTCTCCACGGTAGGACTGTCACATTCATTGCAGCTTTACAGACTAGAAAGTTCCATTTATATTTTTATGTGTGTGTGATATTGGTGACAGAATGTAGGGCCGTGTTAAACAATTTCACACATTTTCAGACAGTGTTTCCTACAGCTCTGGAATCTGCTATTCAGGTGTGTGGGTTTCCCACCATACCGTAAGCAACCAATGACCATTTGCGGCATTGACTCTGTAATAGCTCATTTTCCATTTGCCGAAAACCTCCCTGTATCTTTTTTTTTGTCCTGTATTAAACTTGTGTTTGCATTTAGAATAGAAGGGATGAGCTCCTGCATACTGCCCCCCTTCCCTTTCCCTCTAAGATACCATCAACAAGACTAATCGGAAGACTAGACATGACTAGGTAGCATAATCTTTGGCTCAGACAAAAGAAACCAAAACGTGATGATTGTTTTGGATTTGGGCTTTTTTGTTTGTTTTCTTCAAAAATTTTGGAAGTGTATCTGTCACCATTCCAAACTGGTGAGACTGGAACAGCCGCTCCCCCCTCAAGGCTGAAAGTTCTCGGGATATTTGAACTTCAGAGGTGACCCAGCGCTGCACCAGCAGAAAGAGAGGTGCCTTGCCTAAGATACTTGGGAAAAGAGTCCAGATGTTTGCATGTGGTGGTGCTGGTTAGTCATTTCCATTCCAGGGATCTCAGATATCATGGAAGTCTGTCTCAGTGTGCTAGGAGTTTTACAGGCATAGGAAGGAGAGAGTTGCTGGTGTGTTCCCTGCCCTGGAGATTTCACAAGCTCATTTCCAGGTTAAGAATCCTTCACTCGAGCCTTCTTCCTTCTCTCTCTGACCTTTGACAGTCCTAGGTCCCTGTTGGAATGGAGCTTGACTGGTTTTTGTTTGCCCTGGATAGCAACCCATCAGAGTTCGGAACAATGACTCTAAGAACACAGAAATTATTTACAATAGTAGTTGTCTTATAGTGTCTTACTTAAGCTTAAATTATTTATTACCTGTGTTTAAAAATAAAACGTCTAAGACTGGATTTGTATTAGGTGAAAGAAAATGGGGTTTGTTGTTTTTTTCTGAGTTTCCCCCCCCCCCCCCACAAAAGGTGTTTTTTTTCCAAAGGTGTTCTTATTCCTCAGAATTACATATTTTTTTTAAATCTATAGCAAAGGCTCTCAGAAAAGCATGTGAAGGATTTCCTGCTTCTACACAGGACTAAATTTCATTTTCAGTTAAAGTTATATCACTCTGGAATAAATTCCTTTGGATTTGATGGCTACTCCCACTTGGTGTTAATGACAAGGCAGCAATTATTGTGCCTGATGCAGCATGCAGTGATTATCAAACTAGAGCAGGCTTTTAACATATGTATAATTCTGAGTAAAAAATTTGAAAAATAATTTGAGTAAATTGTACCACTTACACTGAGTCCAGCTTAAAAAAGAAATTTAAGAAGGTTTTGAATTTGTTCCTGTTACTGATTGTTCTGCAGATGCTTGGCATCTTTCTCGCATACAAGTGTTGTATGAGGCTATTTGCACTGTTCTTTTTTAAAATGTAATCTCTTCTTTTCGTTGAAGTGCTATACTTGCAGTCAGTTTTTGGGGGGGAGTATATGGTGGTGTTTGCTTCTTGCTGAGCATGTCTCACTCCACAGAGTGCATTTCACCTCCAGGATAGGATGTCGACTGGATAAAAATCAGTTCTTAGACTACTATTTTGCTAGCTGTATGCTAGCTGAATATCAAGCTTGCGTTTCTGGTTAACGCAAAGGCAGACATTTCCTTCCCTAATTATTTACACAAAAGCTAATCTTTCTGTTGATGTTAATCTTGAACTTCGCTAGCAAGACAACAGAAGATGGTGAGCGTACTGGATTTAGTGTTGCTATACCACTTTGTTTAGATCAAAAGGGAAACAGATAAGCAGCTTTTAATAATGATTGTGTTCCACACATCCCTTTTTTTCATTTTGCTGATTACTTATTAACAAATGTCATTTTTTGGCAAGGCCACAAAAAGTAAGCTTTAAAAAAAAAAAAAAAAGCAACATTCTGTAGGGTTTTCTTGTGTATTTGTTTTTGTAAGACTAGCATATAGTCTGGACATTTCAAAGACTTTTTCATGAGCTTTGCATCAAGATGATTAAACTGGATGATTTTGCTGAGTTTTGGTCACTCGTTGATATAAGTATATAAAGTCTATGAAAATAAATTGAGCTGAGTGTGAATTCAGCCCTTCGGCTATAATTACCATGCTGTTATTACTTTCCTACCTTATAACAAAAGATGTACTCCACAGCCCTTTTTCCAGGAAATACAAAAAGCCATCCGGCATCCATCTGGTAAGATTCACCTAGATGTGACAGGGTCCATTAGCAGGTGCCTAGGGAAGAGCATAAGAACAGGACGTGCATGTGGTGATGTTCCTCAGGTGTACTCTTCCAGCCTCCACTGATGTTGTAGCTCTCGACTTCTTGAGGTGTGGTGGTATCTTTTCATTTAAACTGAAGTGTGCAATGTTGCTTGGGGAATCAAAATTACCAATTCCACACTGTGAAAGTTTAAGTTTGTTTTTAAAGTGTGACAAATTGAAAAAAGGGGCATTTAAAAAAAAAACCCACAAACCAGGATGTAGTTAAAGGGATTTGTAATGGTCATTTGACTTCAAAAGTATTTTGTGTGCAAAATCTGTGAACGCATCACCATTGGAAAAACAACCTCACAGTATTTTGTTCATTGCTTTTATGCAAGTTGTATATAGCACATGTTAGCTGTCAATATTAATTTTATTCTTTTATTTTTAGAGCTTATATAATACTGCGCTCTTTTGTCACCTAAAGAAAGAGCTAATTTTGGCATTACTCTGCATGCAAAATTCTCACTGCAGTCTTTGTGTATACATGTTGTAATGGTCAGTTCGTAATACCAGAATTGAAAATGTTTGAGGATCTGGAATCAGTGGTCCCGTAAAGAATGATACAATACTGAATGATCTCTGAAAAACAAAGGTTGCATCTATTTTCATTAAAAAGCAAAGGGAGAGGAATCAAAAAATGAGCGACACAAGTGCACCATGCATCATTGCAGCTCACAGAGATTTCTTATTATGTGCATCACCCATCATAGCTGTTTAGAACTACTGACAGTAAAGCAATGATTGGCAGAAGATTGGTACCATTTTGATCAGTTTAAAAGATCTATGGGAGCTTTCCTAAAAGCATCGTTGATTTTCCAGATTCAGTCAGTTTAAGATGCTTTAAATCTGCCCTACAACTAAACAAGGCATTTCTTCCTTCCCTTATGCCATGCACTGACACATTTGTCCCCTGCCACATCCAAAGCTGTGCATTCCTACTCTTCCCCTAATGCTAGCACTAATCTCTTTTTTTTTTTTTTTTTCTTTTTTTTTTTTTTCCCTTAGGGCTAGTATTTAACTGAGAGCGGTCCCTGATCTGGCTGGCTGCAAGGCTCAGCATCAGGGAAGCAGGAACTTGTGGCAGGGTCAGGTCCACACAAGGCAGGCAAGAGCTGCCCCTTTCAGTAGCAGGTAAATTTAGGTTGACTTTAAACTGACTGTGAAACTCTGTCATTAGTATCTCTGTTTCTAGTGCTTATTTAACAAACCCATTCAGTCCTCTAAATGGACTCTCTAAACATCTCCATAGCAAGTGGTGATGTCATTTTGTCAAAGAAGTAGGGGTGTTGGTGAAGGATACATAACCAGGGACCCCTGGCTCTTTGAAAACCAAATCTCTCTCTGCACAGGAACACATTATTGGGAGATCAAAAATCATTAAGAGTGGAAAGAGAACAAAAAGAGTAGTAGTGGTAAAACTAGCCTTAGAATATCTTAGCTGAGTTTTTTAAAAGCTGTAGACTAAAATACAGGCTCCTTTGCATTCATAATTAGATGTATGGTTAAAAGGCTTAGTCTTTAAAAGTGCTAAGTGTCCTGTCACTCTCGTGGATAAATGATAAAAAAAGGAATGTTGTCCATTTTATGAATGAAATAGCAGCACTAGTTATTGTTCAGGGCATGATCACAGACCAGGCAGTTAAGATTTCTCAGTGTCTTGTAAGTTGCGATTGTTTCAGCTGCAGAGCAGAATTGAAGTGTTGTGTTTAGAAGCATTGTGCGTTTAATGTAAAGTAGTGTTTTTAGCGAATATTTTGTGTACAAAAACATAGGTAGAAGAGGAGACAACAGAGGAAGCTGTTACATGATTGCTCTCTTAGCTCTGCCTAGTCACAGAGCTGATTTGATGAAGTTACTCTGTGTCAGAATGCACCAGTCAGGAAAGAAAATTAGTATGTTCCATGTGCAAGATGGAAGCTATTTCTTTGGGTGAAAAATCCAGATGCTTGATACTGGTTCAGCCTACAGTTTGTGTGACAGCTTCAGCTCTGTTTAGTGCTATACCTGTGTTACAGTATGATGACTGCTGAATACATCTGGAACCCGTTTTGGAGGAACATATGCGTACCGTCAAAATGAGATGGTTCATCGATGTGACATTACATACAAACAGAGGAAGCCTATTATAAACCACTCTATTCTCCTTTCCTGTCTGGTCGATAGATATATAGGCGTGCCATATATGAGTGTGTATATGTATTTCTTTTCCATTCTAGTACTCGTGAGAGCCTGGCATCCAACACTTCAAGTATTGTTGAAAGCAACAGACGTCAGAACCCTGCTCTGAGCCCTGCACATGGTGGGGCAGGCCCAACGTTCAACTTCCGAGCCGCTGCTGACCCACCAACAAGTGAAGCTGAGAAACTGCAGAAACCTGCTAACTGCCTGCAAGCTTCTGTCACTAGTGTCTGATAGTCATCCCGCCTCAGATCTTCTGTCTCATCCTATACAGCAAAGTTTACGACACTGGGACTGATGTTTACATCTTTGGGGAAAAATAGAAAAAAGCATCTCAACCACAGTTTTAGTGTTTACTTAAACTGTGCTGCTATGTAGACTAGGGGCAACAAAGAAATCTTTATTTCAAGGTATTGCTTTTCACATTTGCGGCTCTGTAGCAACAGAATAGCAGTAGGGATAATATATACACTTTTTGCTTCACTTAATTGTAACTGAGCACATATATGAAAGTCTAGACACTGTAAGTGTAATCTGCATTTTCAATGTCCATGCAGTTGCCAACTTCATTTTTAAAAAAATGCCACAGATGTGTGATGCCCCTGGTCAGAGGCTAAACTCTGCTACAGAGTTAATCGTTTTTTACTTCAAAAACTGAGCCACTGCTGAAAGTAACCAGCCAGGATCACCATGAGGAAAAACAATGCCAAACATGACAAGTGATGACCTCAGCTCTATCTGTGAATTGTATTGGTACTAATCAGTCATTTTCACTGTGCGTTTTTGTGACACAATTTTGCAAATACCCGTTTAAGAGAGTAAAAAGAGGTTTGGGTTTTGTTTTGGTTTGTTTTTTCCTAAGTATGGAGGGTGGGAAGGGAGGCGGCGTCTCCTTTTGTGGTTCAAAAGCATGAGAGATGTTTACTTACCGAGACTTGCTACTTGACCGTCCACAGTCACAAATGAGGAGGTGGGCCTTTGCGTAGAGGGGATAGTGGGGGAGGGAAGGGAAAGTTATAACTGTCGTGGAGCCACAACGTGGAGTGACACAAAATATAACAAATGTCTTCAGTATAAATCAAGTATTTAAAAAAGATAATCTAATTCTTGTGTCACTTCTGGTATTGCAACTTGCCATTAATATAGGAATCAGGATAAGTAATTGCTTGGAACAAAAAAATATTCTTTATGATATAAATGACAAGTATGGCCTGAAGAATTGATTTCTTTCTAGTGGAAGGACATAAATCTATTTTATGTAGCTTATTAAATAGAGTGCCTAAATTAGGCTATTAAAAATAGCATACATTGTAGTGATTATCAGAGAACAAAATTTAGAGAATTATAAACTTCTGGCCTTTTTATTCAGTGGATGTTATTTGCAACTTAGCGTTTTATGGACACGTCTAGTTTCGAGAAATTAAATGTGTCCACATGGTTGGCAGTAGAAATCTGAATTCTGTAGGTATGGTATATCCTAATTGCTCTCCCCTAAACTGTTGCTCCAGAGTAATTAGTACTGTGCTAATAACTGCAGAGTAATTTCTAAGGATAGTTAAACTCCAAGAGTAATTTTTAGGTATAGGGTCACATTCTGCTCTGTTACTCATGCAACCTGGTAGTGCAACAAACTGACTTCCAATCTAACTTTTTTTTTTTATCGGAACAGATGAATTGGTGGAAGAATACAAAGATACTAAAATGTTCAACAGCCCAAACTGTTGCATAGGAAAGGGACATTTACATTGTCTAGCTCTTGTAGTACACAGGTATGAAACCCAACTGTACATATTAAAAACCAGTATTTTCATCAGGTTCTGGTGACATGTATTACTCTGTACACAAAGTCATTTGAGCTTCACTCATGTTCTCTATTGTCATCAGAAATCTTTACTGAAGATTCAGCCTTATGTTACACAGTTGGATATAGTTCATTTACTTACATAAAACAGCTTTCTAACTCTGGACACGATCGGTTTCCAGTTCTGTGAAGAACACCCAGTCAATGCACAGGTCTGTTTTCCTTGGTTTCAGTGTATAATTTCCATTTCATAGGAGCAATAAGACCTTTCAGTGCACATAAGGGAAATTATTGTGCTTTTGGTTGGTTATCAAAGTCACTTGGCCTTTAGCCTTCTGCCTTACCATACCTTCCAAGATGTGCTCTAATTACCATATAATGCTTTGCATGACGCATCTTATTATTCAATATGTAACTCCAGCCGTACTTATTCCATGCGAACTGTAGAGTCAAGAGTTTTTGTGGGGAATTGTCATATACTATGCAGTGGCTGACTGTGATTCTGTTTCTGAGATGAGCTCTGACATCAGTAGTATGTATCAATTCAGTAAATAAAAATGTCGAAATGATAAAAAAATTTACAGTGATGATCTGAAGTACTAACGGCAGTATTAAAATGTGAACAGCAAAAACAAATTTCACCTTTGGGGGAAATACTTGTTTGTCATAAACTAATCAGAATTTATACAGGCAGCTGGTTGTACAGAGGACATAATTCCAACAAAATATGATGGTACATACCTATAAACTGTATAGTATCTTATTTCCTAAAGTTCCCAGAGACCAGCAGAAAACATAAATGTCATATTAATGTTGACATGGCATTGTACCAATATTAATGTGACTCTTGAAATATGGAATGTAAACAGAAGTTTCAAATAGAAACGTTCTAATCTTGAATATTTTTTTTTCCTTTTAAAAACAACAATGGAATATAAGGAAATTCCGTCTTGAGGTTCTGGTAACAAAACCACAAGAGTGGAGCTTGAGTGCTTTATGTCACCCTAATCCTTTGATGAAATCATAGCCTTGTATTACATGGTTGCTTATCTATCATTCTTCTTCTAATGTATCAATTTAAAGGTTTACAGAGTTAGATTAGGTTGAATCTGTGTTGTGTTCAACTGTAAAGGGTCAACACAAATCTGTCGGCATTTTGCACACTTAATATGTATTATTATAATACAACATGTTACTTTTATGGTAATTTTTTTTACACATATAACTACCTCCATGAATTTGATGAAATGCAGCAACATGAAAAGTGTATTGTACAAAGCAAGGTTAAAAACTTTGAAGCATTAGGTCATGGCGTTCTCTTGTGTGTCAATGCTTGCGTATGAAGTCATCATGTTTCCATTGCCACAATTTCCTTCTACAATATCAAAAATCTGGCTTTCAGATGAGTCACTTAAGGACTTTGACAAGGCTGCATAATTGGGATAAAAGTGAAAGGGAGGCTGAAACCTTCCATCCTCTCCCCAGTTACTGCTAAAATTTCTGCCTGGTAGAACTTGAAAATGTATTTGTAATTTAGCAAATTAGGAACATCTACAGTCTGTGAAATATGATTGACAGTTTGGGGTTTAACAGAAGACACTCTGGGTAGTTTCTTGGCAGGTTTCAGGTACTTTGGGCCCTATTCTGCCTCCATCTTTGTCAACATATCAGGTCATGGTTTCTCTGAACTGGCAAGGGTGTTAAAACAGCTCTTCCTTTAATGATACACACTCTGTTTTCTAGATTGTGTGCATCTGAAACACTCACTCCTATGGAAATTACCAACAGCCTTTAATTGACTTTGCTGGGAGCAGTATTGGGGTCCCTACTTGAGGTATGTGCCTGTTGTTCAGAGAACCGTGGGCGAGCTTCCAAGCAAAATGAAGCTGGCTTTTGAAAAGTAGCCAGCTGCAACAAGCCACCTTTCAAGAGGGAAGAAAGAAAGATTTTTCCAAAAAAAACCAAAGGAAGAAAGTGGCAGTTGAACCTGAGCAGATCACATTTATATACAAATCCCGATTTATGAACACCTCTTTCAGCAAACCTAGCACCATTGTCCTGATGCAAATTAATATACAGTCATCAGTTGAGCTAACTTTGCCATTTTAAGTATTTCAGTTAAAAACTATAAGAAAGCATTAGCTATTTGATTCCTTGCACCACTGTAAAATGTCTGTTATATGTGAAACCATGTTCACTCAACTTTAAAAAGTAAATTATATTGGAAAACAAATATTTTAATGAAAACCATGGCCTAAGTGCTTGCCAGCCGTCATCGTTTTTAGAAAAGAAAACAAGCAGACCAATATTTGGAGGCCATCATAAACACGAATAATGCTTTGTACTTAAATCGCGCCTTTTCGCCTGAGGGCCTCGAAGCACTTGACGTGGTACCAGCTAAGGCTGGCGAGCCTGTGAGGTGGGCAGAGTGCACTGACCCTCCTTCACATCCAGGCACATTGGGGAAAAAGCAAAAGCTAAGAGTCTGCAGACTAATTTATTAACCAGTTGCTTTCTTAAAGTTACTGGAATAAGTTTAATAGTTAACCAAAGTGTTTCATGTGTATACTCTGAAGTTATTCTTTTGATGCGTTCAGTTTGTTTAAGTAAGAGAAACTGCTTTGCGGTCCTGCAGCGACTCTTGGATTAGCAGTGCCAAAACCAACCAAGTTTTCAGTCATATGAGTACTGCCAGCGGTGGTTTTAGAAACAGATTTAATTAAAAATTTGTCTTTCAAATATATTTCACAGAGTTTTCCCAACACAATTGTTCAAATTGTTGTGCTGAGAAAGCAAATAGCACTCCTAATCTGGTGTCACACCCACAGTTTACAATCCTCTTTGCTCTTCTGAAGAAAACTGTACAGTATTAGAGAGAAAAGTTCTAATTTTTTACAAAATTCTTTTTAAAAAAAAAGGTATATATCTAAAATATTCCCCCCAGCATAAATAAAGTGCATCATTGCTGCATGAGAAGCATGCAGCGGACCCACCGAAAGCCGATGCTAGAAGAAAACGGGACTGTCAGGCTTCTTTTATAGCGGCGCTCTCAACGTTGGTTTCAGTTATGCGGGTGTAAATCTGGCGTACCTCCCCTGATCTCCCGCCGATCTGAGGGAGATGGGAATGGGTCGTTAACTCCATTGAAGCTCAGTTCTGAGCTGAGGGTTTCCATGTTCCTCCCCCACCCCCCCAAGCCCCAAGACACGAAATGCAGAGAAGGAGCAGGAGGCCACGCACAGGCACCTGGCTCTCGGGAAGGGCGGCTGGGGTTGAACCCCTGGTGAAGCGCAGGGCTGCCCGGCCGGGATGTGGCGACGGCCACCCTGACTTTCCCACCTCGGAAGGGTGATTTTCCGTGCCATACGCTGCCCTCCTGTTGTATAGCGGTTAGAGCCACCCAAAGGACACCCATCCAGACATATGAAAGGGCCCTTGGAGTAATTGGCAGAGATGTTACTTTTATATGTGGAGGAGATTAAAGTTTAAAGGGATCATAATTCTGCAGGTAATTTTCT